ATTTCCCTTCCGGGGCTGTGACCCGTGACCCTGATTCTATTACCCACTCCCCAGCATGCCCGGGGTACGGGAGGGAGCAGGCTCCCCTGGGATTCAGGGGGAGGGAGAGGCGGATGAGATAGGAGATAGGGACGTACCTTGCGGGGGGGGGACCCCAAAAGTCAGAGACTGATCCTGAAGCCCAATGTGCAGCACTGCCCCCTTCGGCCTCTAGGGCAGCACATGGGGGAGGGGGGAGAGGGGAGAAGGGAGAGAGCAAGTGCTGGCTGTGATCCTCATGGCTCCAGGGCCAAGCACAGCAGCTTCCAGACATGGAGGGAGCTGGCACTAGCCTGTGCATGTAATTAAAGGGTTCCTGGAAAGGTTGATCTGGCCTGGAGCCGCTGCTGCTCATCGTTCCAAATGCCTCTGTGCTGGGGTGGACAGAGTGAGCGGCGGGGGGGCCACCGGGGCAGCCCTCTGGACCAGCAGCTGCTCCTCTCTCCCTTGTGGCCAGATGGAGCTGGTGTGTGAAGCAGGAAGAAAGAGGCCCCAGACTGCAGCCCCCATCACTCCTGCATCCCGGAGCCACCAGCAGAGAGCAACGCCAGCCTGGCAGGCTCAGCAAAGTCCTCTCATTCCTGCCCAGGCATGCCCCTCTCGCCGAGCCCTCCACGGCAGGCACAGCCAGCCCCTCGGGCAGCAGCAGCAAGCCCCTGCTGCCGAGTCCGCCTGACACTTTCCACGCGGTTTCTCTCTCGTCATCAGTCCCTCTGGTGCCAGGTCTGCTGGTTGGTCCTGCAGGCTGCGCTGAGAGGAGGGTAGATTGGCTGGGGCGTGAGGCAGCCCAGAACCAGGGCTCCCGTGCAAAGAACCAACAGCTTCCATTTCCGGCCAGTCTCCCGGAGCTTGCAGAGAGGCGCAGAGTGAGAGCAAGCGGCAAGCAGCACGAGACGCCGAGAGTTCTCCATCCGGGGCCGAGATCCCACGCAAGAGGGAGGGCCCGGAATCCAGGCTCCCACCGCTACTCTTCCTGGGACAGGACAGGCTCCGCTGGAGAGGAGAGCGAAGTCAGCACAGGCAGGGAGTCGGGCAAGAGATGGCAGCCGGGAAAGCAGCCTGCCCAGCCTGGCTGAAATGTTTACCCAGGAGGGAGCGGGTGGTTCACTGACAGTCCTGTTTATGCCCGAGGCATCCAGCTTCCTGGAGCTGCAGGAGTGGAGCCTTGTGGCAGGGGAGGTTGTTTACCTGGCTCAAAGTGAAAGCAGAGCAGTAAGGCACAGAGCTGGCCTGGAAAAACCAGCCTGCAGATCAAGGAGCACGGGGATTGGCCCTCGGGGTCTGGGCTGCTGGATTGTCTTGGGGGGAGAGTCACGCACAGCTGGTTCTGCAAGCTGCATGGCTCTGCTTGGACTCAGCAACGCCAAAACAAACATGCCCCCTGCACATGTAACAAGGTGATTCCCCTGCCCAGGGAGCCGAGTCCCACTCCGCCCTGCCCTGCTAGCATGTCCCCCGCCACAAAGGGCCTGCAGGCAAGTTAGCTGCCTCTTGCGCCGATGGCCAGTCATAACCACTGCTGCCCAGGCACAGCAAGGGACAGAGCTAGACCCTCCTGCAGCTGGGCTGGCCCTGCAGGGCTAACAGCAGGGACCAGAGCAGGGCCACGGCGCAGGCTCGGATGCCCCCAGGGACTGCGTTTGCAGAGCAGGGAGAGCCCAGCTTCAGAGCTGCACTTGACAGCAAGATTGATCCCTGATCGACCACTGCCAGGCTCATGGCCCTATGCCGAGGCAGCCACATTCCCTTTCGCTACGGGCTCAGCGAGCAGACTGGGATCAGCTCCCAAGCGCTAACGCTGCCAAGCAAGCAGCTGGCACCTGGCTCAGGGCCTGGCTGGATTTTAACCCTGGGTTCTGGATAAGCCATTCTGAACCTCCCGCTGTGCCGGGCTGCAGCAGAGGGGCCTTGATTATAGGGGGGCTGCCGTCCGGACAAAGGGGGGCACCTTACCTCATAGGGCACCCTGCCCCTGCAGCTCCAGATGCTCCTCCACTCCATTCAGCGGCCTGCAAAGTGACACCACATCAGGGGGTCAAGCCAGTGGTAAGGAAGAGGTCTCAGCTGGGGATGCCCAGGAAGACCCTAGAATCCCAGGGCGGGAGGAGACCTCGGGGGCCATCGAGTCCAGCCCTTCCCCAACAATGCCTGGTGAGGGTGCCCCTCTGCCAAGCAGCCCCTCCTGGCCCAGGGCTGCCGCGGGTTCTTGGGCCTCTCCAAGGTGGGACTGGGCCCTGCGTGCCAGTTGTACACAGGCCCAGAGGAGGAGAAGCCCCGGGTTGCAGTCTCAGCCTCTTACCTTCCCTCCTGCTCCTCTCCTGCATTCCCTCTGCACTGCAGCCGTCTCTCCAGGACCTGGGGGGAGAAGGACAGTCTGGGACTGGGCAGGAGCCGAGCTAGGGGGCTGTGCTGCCAAGGAACTCCCTCCATGAGGGGGAAGCTCCTGGGGCCTTTCCCTTCCCTTCCCCCTGCCGAGCCGAAGGGCAGAGTCCCCCTGAGGGGCAGGGGAATGGAACTGCCCCGCCCTGGCTGCCCCCGAGGAGTGTTCCCTGCCAGGTGTGTCACAGCTGGGGAACCTGAGGCACGGGGAGGTTTTGTGGGGGGGGAGTGACTTGCCCAAGGCCACCCTGCAGAGCTGGAAACAAAGCCCAGGCCTCCTGCAAAGCTTTGGTGTTTGGGGTCCCCATTTCCACCACCACTTGCTGGCCAGGCAGGGGCTGGGAGGTGGCAAGACACCCCTGCCCGCCCCAGGGTGGGCGCTTACCCTGACTCTGTGCCTGTAGAAGAGGAGGCCTCCGACGGCCAGCAGGATCACCACGGTCGCCACCTGCAGAGCTGGAAACAAAGCCCAGGCCTCCTGCAAAGCTTTGGTGTTTGGGGTCCCCATTTCCACCACCACTTGCTGGCCAGGCAGGGGCTGGGAGGTGGCAAGACACCCCTGCCCGCCCCAGGGTGGGCGCTTACCCTGACTCTGTGCCTGTAGAAGAGGAGGCCTCCGACGGCCAGCAGGATCACCACGGTCGCCAGGGACGCCACCAGCACGTAGGTCATGACCACCCACCGGCTCTCGCGGGGCAGGGCCTCCCTCCTGCGCTGGTCTGCGTTCGGAGGGAGGATGTTAAAACCGGGGACAGGCCCTGCCAGTCTGTCCTCAGGCTCTCGGAAGCTGGCCTGCCCCCCTGTTCTCTTTCCTCGGGGCTCCGTGGGGTGCTGCAGGTCTGGGGCTCTGCCCTGCCCGGCTGGGAGCCGAGGGCTCGCCCTGGGGTGTCTCTCTGGGGCAGGAGGGCTCCCCACAGTAGGAGCCATCCTGGAGAACCGGTGCTGCATGATGGAGAAGGGCTCCTTGGAGCCCGGAGAGGGGATCAGCCACAGCTTCCTGGTCAGAGGAGTCCCCGATGGGTCCCCGGGGCCTGCTCCCAGGGCATCCAGGGCGGCAGACATCAGGGCTGGGCTAGAGATGGCATTGGCGCTGCTGACATCCATCAGCTCCTCTGTGGAGGATGTCCAGGTGGCTTGGGAGGCCTCTTGTCCTGTCCAAGGCTGGGTCGGCTTGGCATTGAGTGATGGGACTGGAGAACCAGGCGCATGCAGGAACTGCCTGAGCCCAGTCGGCCGGGTCTGGGGTCTCTCCACCTCAGTCCCTGTGTCCATCTCTGCCCCAGAGGCCGGGAGGCTGGCAGGGGAGCTGGAGACGTACTCGGTGCTGGGAGGAGCAGGTAGGCCCAGGAGCGGTTCGGCCCCACTGCCAGGCCCCTGTGATGCTGACGCTAGCTCCAGTTCTGCTGGTGGTGAGGACACAATGGCAGAGATGCCAGCCCAGGCTCCCTGCATCTCCATAGCCAGCAGGCCTCGGTGTGTGCTCCTGTGTCCCCTGGGCCTGGCGCTGCTGAGTAACTTGGCTGGGGCTGGTGTGGTGCCGGGCTGGCTGAGTGGCAGGTGGGTGCTGCCCAGAGTGGAAGGGGAGGGCTTGGTGACCAAGCTGGGGTGGGGAGCGCCTGGGGGGCTGGGGGATGGACAGTTGCAGTCATGGTCAGTCACCACACCTGAAAGAAGCAGAGAGAAAGGGCAAAGAGCAAACAGACTCCAGGGAGAGCAGGGAGCAGCCTTTAGGCTCGCCTCGGGCCCTTTCCCTGTGGGTGCCCAGTCACCCCAAAAAGCCATAGTGACATGGGGGTAGCGGGAGAGCCCAGCGTGAGGCAGGCAGAGCCAGAGGAGGGGAGCTGCCCAGACAGGCCAGGAGACGCAGCCCTGCGAGGCGCGCACAGATGGCAGCATGTGAGCTGGGCAGAGGAAGTGATTAGCGAGACAGGCACCAGAAGGCATGCAGACGGTGGCCCGGGGCAGAGGGAGAGGTGGTGGTGCAAAGCGGGTGTGTGGAGATCGGGGCCATGACTGTTAGTGAGTCCAAGCAAGGGCGTGAACCGGCAGCCTCCACACTGCAGCCAGCCCTCGTGCACAGTCTGTGGAGTGTCTGGGGCTCATGCCATCACCAGCAGCCACCGCACAAGCAGCAGGCTCAGAGGGAGGGAAGGGTTAGTTGCAGCCTGTCCCTTCGCCTCAGGCACGAGGCACACGACAGGTCCTACTTGCAGGCAGGACGGAGGAGAGTTTCTTCGTGGCGCACATGCAAACACATCACATGGAACATGGACCAGACATGGACTGCCCCCAGCGATGCCAACAGCACTGCGTCTTCCACTCTGCCTTTGCAAAGTGCCGCCGGATTGGAGTCAGTGGCCTCACAGCCTGCCAGGGAGGCTGGAATAACTTCCTCCACTGTACAGAGGGGGAAACTGAGGCACAGGGTAGGCCCTTGACTTGGCCAGTGAGTTGGTGGCAGCAAGCATCCAGGAGTCCTGTGTCCCAGAGATGTGCCTGAGCCCCAAGTCCATCCTAACGCCCAGACAAGTGGCTGCAAGTGAACGACTAGTCCCCACACCTGCAGCCCAGCCTGAGTCAGGCTGGAAGTTTGCTTGGAACATTTTTCAAGTTCTTAATTTGTGCTCCTGCCTCTTAACTTCCTGGTTTCAGCTAAAGGCAGAAATACCACAAACGAGGTTGCCGTCTTTGCAGTACTAGGGTCAAACCACAGCCCGAGAGAGTCAGTTCCCAGGGCACATCCAGCTCTCTTCTCAGAGCGAAGAGCAGGGCAGCCACTTCCCAATTTGGGGGTCTTTCTCCGACCCAAAGCTTTGGAGCTTTCTCCCTATTAGTCACACAAACGAATACACATGCACACACCTGTCCAGTATGCACACACTCACAAATATAAGCATGCACAGAGAAACAAAAATACACACATGTAAGCATCTCTAGACATACAGACATGCCCGGGAGGGCAATCCAGTGCACACACACGAGCCTGCAAACACACATGCACACACATTCCCGGGATGGATGCTCGCCTGCACACAAATATGCTCCCGTGCTGAAGCTGCATAAATCTTTGCCATGCTAAGCCAGGGCCTGGTTTCTCACCTGGAGAAGGCGGTTCCTTTTGTGGGGAGTTGGAGCACTTCTGGTAGGTGGTGCTGCAGTCGCGTGCAAAATCCTCACCCTTCTTCAGGTGGACCATCACCTTGCCAAAGAAATCCTTCACCAGCTGAAGCATCTCCTCAGGGGGCACGGAGAACTCCTTGAAGCAGGCCTGGGATACCTATGCAGAGAGCAGGGCTCAGTGACCAGGAGACAGCCCGGAAAGCAGAAATCACATCCCACTGCCCCTCGGCTTCAACTGCCAAACCTCTCCAAGCACCCGGGGCTCCCTCTCCCCGCGCAGCTCTCCCCATGTCGGTGAAATCACCCTGTGGAAAAACAGGCTGGGGGCAAGATCGGAAGCACGGGATCTGATTCCCCGCCTCACTGAAATCAACTGGAGTCTTCCCACATCCCCCAGAGAGACCAGGCTCGGGCCCATTGAGTGGGATCCTACTCTCCTTGAAATGGGTGGGGATCTGTCACTTCCAGCAGCGAGAGCTGGATCAGGCCCATTTACACCCAGGCTGGGATTCCAGGTAGGTGCAAACACAGGTAGAAAGGCATGAGGGAAAAGACAGAGCTTAGAGGGTGGCCCTGGGTACAGTTCAGGACCCGCTCCCCAGTGTGGCTCAGGGCCACTGGATGCTTCCCTCCCACCCTATTTTCTCAGCTGACAGTCAGGGAGCTGGAAATATTCCCAGCCCTGCACTTCCTGCTGTGCTCTTTCATCTGCCAGGCTGGGACCCGCTGACCCCAGCTCCAGCCTTAATTAGTGCAGTGTGTAGTTAATGATCATTCCCATCCAGCAGTCCCCTTGCCCAGGCAGGCCAGCCTCTGGAGTCCACGTGGTCACCCTCCATGCTCCAGAGATTAGTCTCTTTCCATTATGGACACCCACCCTGAACCAAACCACTCCATGCCATGGAGACCTGGCAGCAGACAGCTCTGTCTGGCCGTACCTCGTGCTCATGTTCGCTCTGTTCGCTGATGCACGGCTCTTCATTCTCATCGATCTTCTTGTACATGGCCCGCACGTCCCTTGTCTTGTTGAAGTTGTCAGAGTTCTCCTTGAACTGCATTTTTTCCAGGATATCCGCCAGCCCAGGGAAGGCCGCTTTGATAAAGCAGATGGAGTCCTCCTGGGAGGCCAAAAGGGACAGATTATTGTCTGCCACACAAATGTTGCCCTGCCCCCTGCATCGCACAACATGGGGTGCGGGTACCCAGAGTAACAGCTCCGCCCCACTTCCCCCCAGTCCCTGCCACATTCAAAGAGGATGGAACAGTCGGAGACTCTTGAAAATCTGGCCCTTTGGGTTTAAGTTAGAGTGGCCCAAATTCAGAGGGAATGCTGTGTCAGGGGTCTCAGCGGGCGTGTCTCTCAGAGGGCCGAAAGCCCTGGCGCTTCCAGGCTAAAAGGTATAAATACCCAGGAAATGGCTCTTCTGTGAATTACAATGCAACCCACTGGGCCAAAGGGGACGGGCCCTATCATGTTACATACTAACCATGTCAATACTAAGAGACCTAAAGAGGAAAAATTGCCACCCCCACTTTGCAGAGGGGAAACGGAGGCAGGGAGCGATTAAAGGAGTTTCCAAAAATCACATAGGTAGTCTGTGGCCGGATGAGAGTCAAGTCCAGCTCTCTGAGGGCACAAGCTACAGGCGTTTCCTTTCTCTCCAGGCTGCAGAGACTCGGCTCTGATTTTAGCTCCACTTGTCCCCAGCCCTGATGCCCAGGCCGAGGGATTTCTTGGCTCAGGTGAGCAGCTGGTCTGACCAGGGCCACTCACCAGTTGCTTCTCATCAATGAACTCAAAGGAGATGCGGCAGGGCATCAGCATCTGGGAGTCGATCTGCAAAACAGAAGCATAAAGTCACCCTGCAGCCCTTCTCCAGGGACCCAGCCAGGCTGCTGCGCCCCCCCCCAAGCAGGCACCTGATAATCGCACCAGCCTCCAGGGCCCGCAGAGCGGAGAATCGGCAGAGCAGGGGGTGCAGCCAGGGGCCTGGCCGGCCCACAGGAAGTCTCTGCACTGTGCACTAGGAGTCGCCAGCATCACAGGCTCATTGCCCTGAGACGTGAGATTCATCCCAGCCTCTATCACCTACTAAATCAGTTCTTCCATCCACTCTCTCGTTTTCCCACCCAGATCTTAAAACCAGCCCTCCACCCCCGCTCTGTGCACATGCTCGCGATCCCAGAATGCCTCTCTGCACAGAGGGATTTGCCTTAATGTCCTGGCCAAAATGTTTCTCCTCTGTCCCCCTCGGTTGCTGCTCCTCACCCCATGCACAGCTGCTTTTAAGGAGTGGCTACGGGGGGCTGTAACATTCTTTGGCTCCCTGTTGGTGGGAGGCCTAGTGTGTCCAAGAGCTGTTGGAATTCCTCGCAGTTCACTGGAGATCCAGAGGAGACACATAGAATGAAGGGAGAGGCAGTGCTGGGGACAGGCGTAGCCCTAGTGAGGATGCTGGGCTCCGCGCATTCCCAATTCTCGCCCAAACAAACAAGAGAGTCATCTTTCTCCCTCCGGAGCCAGCTCTGCCTTGTCAGAGGAAAGCACAAGGCCGCCGAATGGACCCCGCTGCCCCGTCTCTTTCTGCGCTGACTCAGCATTCCACTTGGCAGCGACAGTGTCTGGAAAGGCACCGAGTGGCCGAGGGCTTCGATTTCAGCACGAAACGCTCGCCTCTGCGGCGTAGGGCAGTGTCTGGTAACCTGCCTTCCAGTCTTATTGGGAACAATTGCTTCATTATCTGCTGGGTTTGCAGGGAAGCGGTTGCTAGCGACAGTGTAGAGCAGGCAGGGGGGCTGGGTAGGGGCGTGCACCTGCGATGGCTGCAGCAGACCGGGAAATCCTGTGCCCATTCCTGCAATCTCTGAGCTGGTTTCACACTCCAGGCTCTGACCTTTGTGCCCGAAGGAGCAAGGACTCTGGCAGTCATGGAGCCCGGGGAGCGTTGGACTTTGCACCCTGCCCAAGCCGGGCCACAGCATGTGTGCCGCCAGCGCGGCAGCAGCAGGGTTAGTGCAGAAGCCTCGCCTGGGGCCCACATCTGGCTTCACAGCCTGGCCCGGGACCTACGGGCTGCGAGTGGGCGTGTCATAACGGGACCACTAGTGGGGTGTTTACACTGTCACTCACCCCCACATAAATCTGAGTAACTCCTCAGGGCCCGAATCTCCTCTCACTCCCCCTGGTGTAACCGAGGGGGAACCCCAAAAGTTCATCAATGAGGACAGTGCAAGTGAGAACTGAACAGGGCCCTGGCTAATTAATATCCGCTGCCCCAAGCGCAGGAATTTCCTTTGGACTCTGACCCCAAATCAGCTGGGTTCAATCATAAATCATTTGTGATGTAGGGAGAACAAGCCTGTCTAACCATACATGGCACCATACACCCATCTCCTTCATGCCTTCAGCAGCTGCCCTCGCAGCACCTACCAGTATGTTCAGCAGCTGAACAATTCCTCCCCAATGCTGGAAACCTAGGGGGGTGCCTGAGCCAGTTCCCTCACAGCTAATCCTGCCTGAGGATGGCCAGATCCCCAGGTTAACCCTTCGGCAGCTGCAGATTTAGTGCTCCAGCCTCCTAAACACTCACGAGGGTCAGTGCAGAGCGAGCCAGGGTTCACTCTAAGAAAGTGCCTTACATGCAAGTTGCTGATGAAGCAGAGAGGAGCTTGGGCTGGGGCTACAGAAGGATCCCAGATGTAAAGGACCAGCCTGTGATCAGCCCAGCCTGAAATGCATCTGCACAAGGCCCAGAACCTGCAATGCATGTCCCAGAGTTTGGGCATTCCTACCCTCTCCAACTTCCAGACTGGCAGCCTTCCCCTTGCTTTCTGTAAGCCTCTCCCCCAGAACGTTTGCTCCATGAGGGTGCTCTGCGTCAGCATTGCCTAGCATTGGTCCCATGCACATGGGGCACAAAGACCCATCTCAGCTGGGGCCGGGGCTTCACACTTGGCCAGGCTGGCCCAGCAGAGTCACTCTCCTCTGGCTTGGCCACCCAGCTCAGCCAGGCATGGGGCTTGTCCATTGTGAACACTGGTCTCCCCTGGACGGTCCATGCACTCACCTAGCATGGGCACCTGGCTAGTAGCAGGCCCCAGCCTCACACCCTGATGTTCCACATCCCATCCCAGCAGCAGGCTGGGTGTGACACTTACCAACTCCTGCAGCTTATCCAGGTGCTTTTGGGTGATGATATTCTCACAGTAGCCTTTCTGCTCAGTTTCATGGATGCTGCAGGTGGCGAGGAGGAGGAAAGTCAGCAGGGTGCAGGAGACTGGGCATGCCTGAGGAAGGGAGAAGCTGTCAGCCGAGAAGCCATGTCCCTGGGCTCCCCGCTGCCCCAATGGCTAGCAGCCTCCAGGGCGGGCTCCAGGAGTGATCCCCTGCCTTCCTCTGCCAACAGCCTTTGGTGTGGACCTTTGGGCCAGTCCCTGCCCCATAGCAAGGCAGAGATAGCTAGGAGAGGTGGCAGGCAAGCACAGAGTGGCACTCCCCAGGACAGATACAAGCTGCACTGGGTTGCTGAAACAGGAGCTCAGGGCACAAATCCTTTCCAGTGTGCACCCAGGCATTCCCACTGCAGTCTGGGAACACATCTCCCCCTCCCCTGCTGCCCTTTCCCTCTCCCACTGCCTGGCCTGCTATTATTAGAAAGGTAAGTGGTCAGCTGAGCAGACCCTGCGGGGAATTCCCCAGCCTGGCTCTCTGAGGGCCACACAAGCTGCTGATGGACACAAGTGTGCACAAGCTGCTTTGGGCTGCTGCCAACCGAGAGTGCACCAGGCACAGTTTTGTCCTGTCTTCACCACTCCAACACTTCTCCCTTCATTGCCTTCCTGCTCCCTCCATTGCTCCTTGCAGTCTGGGGTCTCTCCCTTCCCACTCCAACTTCTCTTCTGCTCCCTCCTCTTGTCTCCTCCATCACTCCCTTCCCACTGCCCCTTTGACTCTCACCCTGCCCTATGGTCCCCTTCCCCGCCTTGTCTCTGGGGAAGACTCTTCAGTCCCTGACACCCATGAATTCATCCAGCACAGAGCCAGCTGCAAATGTGTCCTCCCTTTCCAAGACCCCTCCCTGGCCCTCTGTGCAGCTGCACCCCAGCCTTCAGCTTCCTTTTGCACCTCCTTTCACAAAGCCCCATCATGGAGCCATATCCCTCTGTATAAGCTGGGGCTCGGCTTTAACTCCACAAATTCCTTTTCACATAATGCAGTTACCTTGTGGCAATGAGTTCCACAGGCTCTCCATGAGGCCAGAATCCTAGCAGGATTCCAAAAGGGATTGAACATTTATGTGGAAAATGAGAACACTCAGAATCACAAAGGTAAATGCTAAAAAAATAGTCAAGTGGCTGGGAAGGAATATAAACCTGCCTGCTTCATACCCTGCTACCCTCTAGCTGGAGTCCGGCAGGATTACATGGGAAACTCAGGGCAGAGCCCCAGGGTGGCTCCTTTGAAATGGGGTAGAAATGGATGGGGAAATTAGATGAGTGGAAAATAGATTAAATGGCTAATTACAAGGTACTAATAAATAATAAAATAATACAAGTATAATAAATAGCTGGTTTATGGAGATAGATTAGATTAGATTAGATAGATGAATCTTAGTACACAGACCCATCATCTGAACTAAGACCTAGGTAGACAGATCAGTATACTAAGATAACTATCCTCCTGGATCCTGGTATCCCAATTAATCAATCAAACTAGATCAATATCTGAAGATCTAGGAAGAAAGTTAGCTAGCTAGTGTACTGATCAATCTATCTATCTATCTTGCTAACTCTCTTACTAGATCTTATCTATATTTATCCAGCTAACTACTTACCCACCCTCCTAGACCTTAATACACTGATCTAGTCAGTTAGCTTGACCAGAATATTAAGACCTAGGAGAACAGATAGATGTTATCTATAGGGATAGATCAATAGCTAGATGGATAGATGGGGGACTGACAAACTAGCCTCATTAGCTACCGATCTACCCTCCTAGATCTTAGCATATTGGTCTATCTGGATCCTTTGATGAAGCAGTGTCCTGGGACAGCTGATTAGCTGGACTTGGTTCCCTGCTCTGCGCTCTGCTCCAACAGGCGAGGGGATCCCCTGCAAACTTCCGACGGGAAGGGGCCAACCACGGCTCGCCGGGCTCTCTCCAAACCAACCCAAAGCTCCTTGCCATGCCCCCGCCTGGAGCCGCTCTCTTGGCTCAGTCCCTGGCTACGCGGTGCAAAACAAGGCCGAGAGGAACGTCGGTCTCCACCTCTCTTGCAGTCCCTGTGCTGTCAACACTTTTGGCAAGAAAGCGCCTGCCGGCCAGACCTGACACGCAGCCAGTTGCCTCCATCCAAAGGCAGAGCCCAGCCGAGGGGAGCAAGCAAGGGGCAGAAAGAAGGAGTGTCCGGCGCAGGCAGAGAGCTGCTCACTTTGCTCCTTCGCTCTCACTCCAGCCCTAAACAACCACGCTGGGGCCAAGCCTTCCAGCCCGGGAAGCACCCAACGGGCTCAGCCCCGACACACGCCGGGAGCGGACTCCCAAGGGAGTTAGGGGTCCCCATCCCTGGCAGACCGGAGCCAGGCGCCCCACGCTCTTCGCGCATCCCAGCTGCGCTAGGGCGCTCGGCAAAGGGCAGGAGGCGCCGCGGGACAGGCGCGCAGCAGCGAAGGGTGCGGCGCGGTGGGGGGAAGCAGCAGCGCAGGCAACTAGAGAGCGCAGAAAAGCCAGACGCGTCCCCCGCCTCGGGCCATCTGTCCTGCTGCAGCCTGGAGTTCTCAGCGCGCGCCCTGCGCGGTCCTTGCGCGCCCCTACCTTGGGGCCGAGCCGGCGCATGGGGACAGCCGTCCGCGGAGCTGGCACCTCCTGGGAGCGGGGCCGGGGGGCGGCGGCGGCGGCGGCGCGGAGCTGTGCAGTCATCGCGGGCTGCCGGGAGGAAGTTTCGCTGCGGCTCCGCGCACGGAGGAGGAGGTGGCTCTGTCCTGCCTGCTCTCCTGGGCTCGCCCTTATACTGCCTCGGAGCATGTGGTTTATGGGAAATCACCTTGGCCACCCGCCAGCGCCGGCCCTTTGTTTCCGCTGGAGGAGAGGGGGAAGGCGAAAGGAGCATCTCGTGCTGCCTTCACCTTTCTCGGGCATCCCCCGGCCCCCGCACCCCGCGCCCAGCCTGGGGCTGTCCCGCATGGGCTAGCAGCAGTGTCCTGCCGGTCCCAGCCTCCGCCAGCAGCGGGCAGGACTCCTTCCCCTGCTGCGTCTGAAGTGCCTGGGCCAGGCTGCTACAGCAGGGGCGGGCAATACGTTTTGAGGGGAGCACTTTTCTAGGGAGAGGGTGGGGAGTCTGGGACGGATGGTGGGTGCAGAAGAGAGCTCGGGCAGGGAACTGGGTGCAGGAGAGGGCCTGGGCTCTGAGAGGGAGTTAGGCAAAGGAGGGGGGTTCACAAGGCACAAAGCTCCCCCCTCCCCCGACACAGAGAGGCAGATGGAGCAGACAGCCGCACTGAGCCCTGGGGCTGCTCCTTGCCTTTGGCACCAGTGGGATGGGCCGTGGTCCAGATCTGACCCCGGGCCGCGTCTTGGCCACCCCTGTGCTAGAAAGTGTCCCAGCAGCGCCAGGCGCAAGGGGTGGCTGCCTAGTGATGCTGTGACCAGGCAGATCAGAAACTGCTCGCTGCTGCAGTGCCCCGATTTCTCAGAGGAAGGGGGTGGTGTGGAGAGGCACAGACACTGCTGGCCCCAGTGTTCCTCCATGCCCCCTTCCCCTGCTGTGTTGGGAGACTGTCATCAGAAGCTGCTGCTCTCCTGCCAGGCAGCTCCTAGGCAGGCCCAGCAGAACAGTGGGGTAGTGGTGGGACCTATGTATGCCAGGTGGGTGCTTGTGTTAAGCCTGCTCTGCGCTGAGAAAGGTTTGCCCTTACAGCCAGACAGGTGAAGCCTTTCAGTTCACATGTAGCTTGTACCAGCAAGCAAGTGCTTTCCCAGGAAGGTTTACACTGCTTCCCGCATGAAATAAGCTCTACAGTAGAGCCCCAGTTACAGACTCCTCGGGAATGATGGCTGCTTGGAACTGTGAACCATATGGGTTTGCTTTCAAAAGTTTACAAGTGAGTGTTGACTCACTGCAGCTTTCGATCTTTAATGTGCAGAAACAAATGCTGCTTTTCCTTTATTTTTTAAAAGAGTTTGTGTTTAACACAGCACTGTGCTGTATTTGTTTTCTTTTGCGGGTTTGTTTTGGTTTGTTTTTCCAGTCTCTGCTGTTGCCTGATTGCTTACTTCCGCTGCCAAATGAGATGTATTGTGAACTGGTCTGTTTGCAACTCTGGTGTTCATAACTCTGAGGTTCTGTTGGACTGCAGGAAGCACATTTACACTGTTTCAGCTGTGTCTACACTACACTGATGGTCTGTATCAAATATTAAAACATCACCCCAGCAAAAGTTTGAAGTGTAGCCCTCTTCCTAGGGTGCTTTGACACACTGCAAACAATAAAAATGTGCAGCCGAGAACCACAGCACTCAGGTAACTTAATGCAGACTCAGACTACAGGGCTAAAAAACAGCAGGTTCTGAGACCACCTATGCCAGGGCTACTCAACTTTGGAAACCCCGGGAGCCAGGATGATACTCTCAGCACTTGCCGAAGGTCACAACTTAAGTGTGGTTGCATGTACATGCAAATATATATACAAATATATGCAAATAGCTTCTTTCACACAGATGGGCATGAATACAAAGAGCACACAACACGCAGGCCCCATTTAAGTCATTCTGCTGATATTCATAAAATGCAACATTTACACTATTTCCACCCATATGACAGCACTTTTAATGAGTAATGACAGTGCAGGAATTGAACGACTAAACACAGCTCAACAAAAGGCCATTATATTGACTTCCCAGCAGAAGCCATGTTCAAAGGATCCCACCTGCTGGCGGCGTGTTGAGTAACCCTGACCTACACCTTGCCATGTTTCAGAGAGTGGGCAGGGATCACCCTGAGCAGGAAAATCTGCACTGTTATCAGTAGCCCCATAGCCTGTGATAGTTGACTCAGGCTCTGAGACTCCTTGCTGGAGTTCGGGTTTTTTTGCCATGTAGATGTATCCTCAGGACAGATCTACACTATGCCAGAAGTTCGACTTGAGATGCACAACTCCAACAATGAGAATTGTGTAGCTGGAGTTGAAATACCTTACATTTCTGGGGCAGCCCTGTTGCAGGTTGATGGGAAAAACTCTCCCATCAACATCCCTTATTCCCCATGACTCCGAGGAGTACTGGGATCAACAGGGGCACCCCCAACATTCAATCTAGTGGGTCCTTATTAGACTTGCTAAGTAGAAGCCTGAAAGTATAGAAAAGGCCTCAGTGAGCATGTGTCCGTTTCAGTCAAAAAATAATGCACTGGCACGAGTGTGAATCTGAATGTGTCTGAGTGAGATGTGTGCATATGAGTACGTGTGTGTGTGTGTCTGTGACGGCATGTTGGGGATCCCCCCAATCCTGCACCCTCGTAGCAGCAAGATGAGACTGCCAGCCAGTAGAATAGTGAGCGTTTATTGCTTCTCCAGGATACTGCACAACATAGATGTGATGTGGTTACAAGAGTCAGGGCCAGGCAGCCTCAGACCCCCTGGGGTAGGGGTCCACTGCCCCCCTCAACTCCCAGTACTCAGCGTAGTCCCTTCTCTCCATGTTTTTCCAGACAAGACTGACTAGCTCCCAGGCTCTGCCCCCCAGCCAGGTGGCCGTCTCCGCCTCCCCTCCTTTGTCTCTCCCCCTGGGAAGAGCCTTGTTATCTGCTCAGGCTGGGACTAGGTGTCTGGACCAATCCTCATTTGGGTGAGTCAGTGGGAATCACACATCACAGTGTGGAGGAACCTCGGGTTACAGAGCAGACAGCCCCCCACTATGTCACATCTCTCCCCCCTCCGAGAGCGAACTGAGTATTACTCTGCTTATGACCTGGGGAAGTTCGGGCCTCCTGCCAGGTAAAGCCGCAGCAGTGATATTGGACCTTCCCTTGGCTTGGGCCGGTCACGGCAGTGCCCTGCGGGAGCCGGCTCCCCCCATTTGGCTGCTGCACAGCTTTGAGGGGGCCGGCACGGGCCCACTCTTTGTGGTCGGACCAGCCCTTCCACTTCTCTTGGACTCTGCCCATGGTCTCTCTGGCCGGGCCCATGTCCTCAGCGAGCCTTTCCCAGAAAGCCAGGACATCCTCCACACATCACAGCATGGGGGAACCCCGGGTTACAGAGCAGACAGCAGCTCCACTATGTCACAGCGTGCGCACACACAGTGGGCATGGAAATGATCATGTCTGCGGTGTGGGGCTGGGAGTGCATGTGTCCCGATTGGCACGTGTGTAGGAAATGCGTGGAACTGTGAGCATGTATCTATGACAAAATGCATAAAGAGCACATAAACCTATGGCTATTGTTCTCAAGCAAAGGACCAACTGAGCAGCAGAGGAACATTGTCACTTGCCAGAACCAATCTGGTTTAACACATAGGTGGTTTTAAGAAAAATAGAAACCACCTCCCTTCATTGGTTTTTTAAAAGCTTGTTGGAAACAGCTGTTTGTAAGGAAGCAAATCTTGTCACTGACTTGTAGCACAGTCACAAATATCTGAAGTGAAATGGGCCATAAAAATGAAACTGACTTTATTAGTTAACTTTCTGAAGTGTAGACTGGCAGAGGTCCTGGAGGTTTTTCACCTTCCTCTGTAGCATGGGGCACAGATCACAGCTGGAGGAGTCTCTGTATCTTGGGGTCTTCAAAGTATTTGAAGGCTTCAATATCTGAGATATAGGTGAGAAGATTATTCCAGGAGTGGGTGGGTGGGTGAGATTCTGTGGCCTTCACTGTGTAGGGGGTCAGACTAGATGATCATAATGGTCCCTTCTGACCCTGAAGTCTATATAGGCTATGTCTACACTGGCATGATTTTCCGGAAATGCTTTTAACGGAAAAGTTTTCCGTTAAAAGCATTTTCGGAAAAGAGCATCTAGATTGGCACGGATGCTTTTCCACAAAAGCACTTTTTGCGGAAAAGCATCCGTGTCAATCTAGATGCGCTTTTGCGCAAAGAAGCCCCGATCGCCATTTTAGCCATCGGGGCTTTTTTGCCCAAAACAGTCCTGTGCTGTCTACACTGGCCCTCTTGCGCAAATGATTTGCACAAGAGGGATTTTGCCCGAACAGGAGTAGCATAGTATTTCCGCAAGAACACGGACGATCTTACATGAGATCGTCAGTGTTCTTGCGGAAATTCAAGCGGCCAGTGTAGACAGCTGGCAAGTTTTTCCGCAAAAGCAGATGATTTTGCGGAAAAACTTGCCAGTCTAGACACAGCCTTATGAGTCTATGAGTCTATAAGTGGTTGAAACTAACAGTACTGTCCCAGATTTCCCATAAACCATATGCTCTGCGAAAGCTGAGGCCAGAGTCAGGAGAGAGCTCTGAAACTGGATCTTGAACATGACAGCAGACTTTATAAAGATCTGAGGAGTAACTTTAACTTGGGTAAATTAACGTGTCTGTTTATAATATCCTCTGGCATACTGATATGATAGTTCATAAGAACAGCCAGACTAGGTTAGACCAAAGGTCCATCCAGACCAGTGTCTTGTCTGTCAACAGTGGCCACTGCCAGATGCACCAGAGGGAGTGAATAGAACAGGGAATCACCAAGTGATCCCTCCCGTCACCCGCTCCCAGCTTCTGGCAAACTTGTACAAATGTGTTAGTATTTGTTGATGTGTTTGTATATCTGACCACAAGCATGTAGGGATGCAGGTGTGCATGCGGATGCGTTTGCGTATCTACGTGCCTGTTGGTCTGGCAGTGTGATTTATGTAGATGCGTATGTGCTGACATCTGTCTATTAACATCAGGGTGCATAAGGAAAGTCTGTGTGATCATGTTTTTGTGTGTACCAGCTGTCTGAATGGGAATTGTTCATCTGTGTTTGTTTGCCTCTATGTGCCATACATTTGGGAGCCTGCTTGTTTGTCCATATGATATGTGCACGCATGGAGAAGGCATGCAAAAGTGTGAGTGTGACTGTGTGACAATCTACATGTGTGTGCTTCTATGTGTACAATGTACATGTCTCTGTATATATGTGTCTTCACCCATGTATCAATCCAGGCAGGTCTTTTTCTAGTCTGGTGCTTAGTTCCAGGGCTAGGACTAGAAGACAGAACTGTGTACAACACTGGGGGGGAATTTGTGTCCATGATCCCAGACACTAGGCATGAGAAGA